CCCCAAAACCCCAAAACCCCAAAACCCCAAAACCCCATTAACTTCTTATCATAAATCTGGTCTTAGCTTGAGGAATTTAACCAGCAGGGCCTACATGGGAAGAGAAGTGGAGTGGAGTAAAAGAATAAAGTAGAGGTTGGTTAGCGGGGTTTGGAGAGAGGAGAGTGGGGATTGAGGTGTTTTATAGAGATTATATGATGGAATTTAGGTCATCAGCAAAGGGATAATAGATAAATTTTACAATAGAGACAATTCACAATTAAAAATCAAAAGCTTCTTCTCAAAAGAAAACCTACACACAATAAAATCAAATCCATCAACCCTAAAATCTCCATCCTCCAACCCACAGAAGCCTAACAACCCCTCCACTATCTACCAATCCAGACTCATAACACTAAAAATCACCCATCTCGCCTATCTTCCTACCACTATCCCTCCCCACTCACAAATAATCTTCTCTTAAGGCTTATTCTTATGTATCAACCTCATTAGGGGTCTTTCTCTGCTGTTTAGGATGCTTTAGATTTGAACTTGGAGAAGTAGGGTTTCTGGGCTAGGGTTTTGGGGGTGGAAGGAGAGGATGGGGAGTTTTGGGGTTGGGAGGGAGGAATGGAGGGTGAGGGGTGGGTGGAGAGGGCTAAAGAGGGGTTAGAGGGGATTTTGGGGGTTGGGATTAGTTAGGAGAGGTTTGGGGTGAATTTGGGTGGTAGATTATTGTTGATAGGATACAAAGTACTATTTTTAATCCACGCTCTTTGTAAAATTTTAAGACTATCATGATAGTTTTCAGAATATTTTAATTGTTTATGATAAATTCTCTTATGATTCTACCAGAAATAGATCTTTCTCAATTTAATTTGGTCACTTACAATTTTTACTTTTTTATAGTGTTTAACATGATGTTTTAGAGTAATTTAGAAAATCTTTCATGAGAAGTGGCAGGTCTCTGGTTACTTTCCACTTCAAGGGTTCTTTTCTTTTTTTGTCCTAAAAATTATTACTCAAAGTACCAGAAGGAAGATCCTGGAGTTGCTTATTTTAAATTTGAGATATTTATACCAGAAAGGGAGGGTACATCTCTTTTCGGAGATTTCCTAGACTCATTCAAAGTATCCAGAACATTTCCTAGCAATTCAGAATTGTAGAAAGGAGGATCCTGTTCAGGAGGCGGATAATACTGAGGATCTAGCATATCAAGATCTTTCAAATCAGAGTTGGTAAACAAGTCAATCTTCTTAGAGAAGCTAGGCTTGTGCTTCTTTGAGATAGGCTTCTGTTGGTCCGAGAACTCGATAGTTTTCTTATTTAATCATCTGATTTCCCCAAGGTTTTCCATAATAGCTCTTAGACTTAGCTCTTGTATTCCAGCTTCTTCCAGTAGAGAAGTTATTTTGGTGTTCTAGACCATAAACGCTCTTGTTAAGATTTTCATAATATAATTGGTTCATTTTCTTCATGTATGGACGATTTGATCTTTCAATGATCTTCAAATGCTCTTGAGCTGCCTTCTCTTGTTGCATTCTCCTAATCATTCTTGCTTTCTTAGTATGATCTTGGCTGATAGCTCTTTCTGGTTGTTTGTTAGAGTATATGCTTCTTGAAATCACTTGTAAGCTAATTGCGATTATTTAGTGCTTATTTTTAAGAATAATAAAATTACAAGAAAGTAAGCATCTTAAAATAAGTATTTTTCGATATATAAATCTCTAAAATGACATTTAGCAAAAAATTTACAACAGCTGGTGGTTTTGAACAAATAAAAGATTAAAATGAAAATGAATTTGTAGCTTGGAAAGAAACTAAAATTACCTTTTCTTCGCAAGCGGTTTAGTAGAGGAAGTTTTAACTGCTGATTTAGGTTTGGAGCACGTTTCTGGGATAGAGTAGGTATGCAACTGAGAAGCATTCTTTGGAGAGCCAGTAGGAGAAGATTGACGCATCATATTATTAACATCTATTGGAATGTTATATAGAGGGTTTCTATAAAGAGCAAAACATACCCAAATCTTTCCTCCTTCCTTTCCAATCCTCATGAAAAGTATATAACTCCCTACAAGTTGTCATCATAGAACCCACTTACCCTACAGCCCTGGTTTCCAAGAACTGCCTGACCAAATTATACTTCATGGCTGAAGTCTTATTCAATCCCACTGCTTTCGCTTGATAATCAACCTCTAAAGATCAGTTTTTATTAATCACTTAGGTTTAAGGCTTTCTGCAGGTCTTTTGACACCTTGTGTTTGGTAGTCTGGTTGAAACTTGATAGAGGATTAGTAGGTTTTAAGGTATGGAGCTTGGGATTTTGGGGAAATGAGGAGTTCGGGTCAAGAATTGTACGGTAGAAAGTGTTGGTTAGCTTTTCTTTTTGAGATTTTAGGTTGAATTTGGGTCCTGTTGGGGTTAATGAAAGAGATTACTTCTCTCCTCTGATTTGGAGGAGCGGTATTTTTGATGGGGTTTGAAGTTTGGTTTTGGAGTTTTTGATTTCTTTTTTGCTCCGATGTTATTAATTTGCATCTTATTTATCCTAATTGCTTTAAAAGGTTCAGTATATCTATTGTATAGGGTATTTACTTCCACAGTAGACCCATTAATACTCGAATCTACTCTAAAACTTTTGGCAATATCTTCATGTATTGTATCATAATTCTATATTCATACTAATTAAAATCTCAAAAGATATGATCTATCTTACTATACTATCTTTTTCACAACTTGAGTTATAGCTTTCCTGGTCCATTTACTGATTCAAAATAATAATTTATTTCTATTCTAAAATATCTTAAAGGGGTTTTGGGGTTTTGGGGTTTTGGGGTTTTGGGG